ATTTTCAGATTTTCTTTTCTCCGCGACCAGAAGATGTGTGCAACCCAGACGAGTTCTATTGCGGAGACTACGGCAGATACGGATCAGCATGTATATATAGAATGAACGCATTGTGTGATGGATGGCGTGATTGTCCTAATGGCGCCGATGAAAAAAACTGCGCTAATATACGTGAGTACTCTTATCTGATCTTTCAACCACGAGGGCAGGAATCATTCACTTGCGCTTATCATTAAATATGCTGTCTAACCGTCGTTTCTATTATTTCCCTTTTCAGTTTCCATTTACTTCCAAATCAAATGATTGTTACCTGATAAAATAACTAATATACATATATTCCCTTATTTTGATGATTATATTAAGTTTAAGTCACACATTATTGTAAGAAATGACTTAATTTACATGACACAATGGTGGTCAAAGTTAATGTAAAGTAAAGTGATAACAACAATAATATTATGATTGTTTCATCGACAAGCAGTGCGCGCGATGGTTATAATTCCGTTCAGTGATGTCACTGCATATTATCATGAATAAATAGTAGTAACAGATAAGCTGAAAAATAAGACCAGTCTGTGGTGGTTTTGCGTTCACCCCACCTTTCCATTTTTTTTAATTGAAAAAAATCACTACAGCTGGGCCAATCTATAGTTCCATCAGTGCGAACCCAATCGTAGAAATACAAATGAACAAACCAGACATGAAACAAATTTACAAGAAATCTTATCTCTTATTACCAAATATATTATAGTATATTTTATTTGACATGAGATCCATAGTGAATACACAAATTATGGTAAACTGAAAATAACCCAAGCATGTACACACTAATTCAAAATCATGGTAAACTGAAAATAACACAAGCATATACACACTAATTCAAAATCATGGTAAACTGAAAATAACACAAGCATATACACACTAATTCAAAATCATGGTAAACTGAAAATAACACAAGCATATACACTAATTCAAAATCATGGTAAATTGAAAATAACACAAGCATATACACACTAATTCAAAATCATTGTAAACTGAAAATAACACAAGCATATACACACTAATTCAAAATCACGGTAAACTGAAAATAACACAAGCATATACACACTAATTCAAAATCATGGTAAACTGAAAATAACACAAGCAT